GATTATTTTCATTGTTAGGTGGTTTACGTTACTGACTAATATCATCATCATCTAGGTGGATTGGTAAAACCAGCGAAAGTAGGCCACTCCATTCTATAACATGGACAATCAGCCCTTCGTAGGATCGAACAAATGACATTGAAATTTCCCTATGAGCATACTGGAAGTCTAAATGAAGTTAAGCCATGACAATATATCAATGTCAATGGTAATTTCTTATTTTTTTTCACATGATGACCTCATATTACTTAAGATATATTAAAGTAGATTATACATTCATTAACACGATTCAAAGAATTTTAACTGACTTATTACTCAGACCATGTTTTTTTTAATCAATAACTTAAATATGTCATAAATTTTATCATTCAGCGATTATTTTGTATTCCTATGGGACTACCCAGAAATGAATATAAACAATTCTACTATTGGATTGACTTGACTTTTCGATATTCGTTCACTGAGATGTCGTATCACAACTATGCGTTTACAGAAAAATCAATACCGAGTAACATTAATCACATCTTGCTTGGGACAAACACAAACCCAAGATTCCAATGGAGGAGGAAATTAGGAAGAAGCGCTGAAAGTGTGGATAGGACATACATTGCGCAAAGCACCCGACTGTATCACAAGACAAGCCCTCATTTGGAATCCTCAAGGCCAAAAGAAAAGATGAAGGCCGAGAAATAGGGAGACACACATGAGAAGAATGCACATAACAATTGGACAGAACTGGAAAGAGAGGCATAGGACAGAGTAAGTTTGAGACTACTGGTGAACAGCCTATGCTCCATCGAGATAAGAGGAGCAAGTAAGTAAGTAAGTAAGTAAGTAAGTAAGTAAGTAAGTAAGTAAGTAAGTAAGTAAGTAAGTAAGTAAGTAAGTAAGTAAGTAAGTAAGTAAGTAAGTAAGTAAGTAAGTAAGTAAGTAAGTAAGTAAGTAAGTAAGTAAGTAAGTAAGTAAGTAAGTAAGTAAGTAAGTAAGTAAGTAAGTAAGTAAGTAAGTAAGTAAGTAAGTAAGTAAGTAAGTAAGTAAGTAAGTAAGTAAGTAAGTAAGTAAGTAAGTAAGTAAGTAAGTAAGTAAGTAAGTAAGTAAGTAAGGTGTGTAAGTAAGTAAGGTGTGTAAGTAAGTAAGGTGTGTAAGTAAGTAAGTAAGTAAGTAAGTAAGTAAGTAAGTAAGTACATCTTGCTTGCACATTAACAGCTATTTTATCAGTTGTAATAAATAGTAGGATTTTATTTATTATCAATTATTGAATGGTTTATCGGAAATTCAAGGTTATTGAGAATGATTTTCCTAGCTGAGCAGTACTTTTAGCAAAAACCATGATATATATATGTACATATACTTACCTATCTAAAATGACAGGATCTGATGGTGTTTCATTACGATTGCCACAACTTTTTCTTTCACAACATCGACTACACATAACTTCATGTGTAAGTAGTACTCGACACATTTCAGGATTTTTATCTTGTCCTTCATAGGCGATAGGCTTTAAAAAGAAACACAAAATGATTAGTTGACTCATGCTCCACATTAAAACCACAAATCGATCGATAGGGGACAAGAGCACTAAGACTAATGATACAAGATTTATCATTGACATTTGAAGATACTGTGGTGCGCGCTACTTATAAGTAGTATATGACGCGAGTGTCAACCTAATGTCTGGCAGCAGAAGATGAGGGAAGATCAAGAAAGGTAGGAAGAGTGGGAACACAATGGAATTTGTATGAAACGCATGAATAGTGAAATGTCAGACAATGGATTGATGATGGATTGAAGATTTGCAAATTAATCGTGTACGATATGGTTTTCCTATTTTACTGAGTAACTCTGTAATTTTCGTTAAATACAATTCGGTTGCCCTCACCTGTATACTCCTTCACTACAATACTACAATTTTGTTTGGTCTATGTACAATCAGATTAACATTGAAATTTTTCTTTTGATTTGAACAGAATTGTATTTGATACATTGATGAATCCCATAACCTACTGTATGAACGCATTGGCTATACTACGTAATTACTCTTTCTCAAGCTATTATTTCATATTACAGATGAATAGAGAAGAAATTAATTTCATATGTCAGTTGTGCGCATATTAAAACTTTGATTTTGGTAAATTATGAAGAATTGCGGGGTTGTTGTGAAGATTGTTAAGTTTTATTTGTAACCATGAATCAATCAATGTTAGACCACCATTAGAAACCTGGAAGCACTAAAAGACGGCCGTTTCGTCCTGGTCTGGGACTCATAAGCAGTGCGCATCCACGACGGTTAGGGTGCTCGCGCACAATACCGAACGTCCTTGGTTCGAATCCTGCGGGGTGCAGAAGTCGTGGATGCGCACTGCCACTGATGAGTCCCATACCAGGACGAAACGGCCATCCAGTGCTTCCAGGCTTCTAATGGTGGTCTAACATTGATCGATTCATGGTTACAAATAAAATTATGAGCAAGCGGATAATTAACCTCATAGAATGTTACACTTAAATGACATGACTGATTTCCTTTGGTAGATATGTGTTATAATTATGATGGTGTTTCATTCTGTGAGCTGGATATCCTTCTGGTTGTGGAGTTTTCATTGTTCTTCTGAACAACATCATCAGCACAAAACTTCAGGTGAAGTATTCGAATTTTGCCACGTATGACTTGTAGCTTGTCCTTGCCGATATCAAACTTGATTGGTTGTTAGTAAATCACTGGCAGCTAGTTCTACAGTGATAAATTTCAACTCAATGCTCTATTTAAAATTGCATTCACTAAGATTATGATGATTATTCTCTGTAATAAAGCTTATGTAATTAATTCTATGTATGCATACTATTATGCAAAATGTTGCTTCAAGATTGGGTTGCATCGGCACCTGAACTAGTGATAGGGGGTGAAGTAGTCGAGTGTGTTGATCACTTCACTTATCTGGGGAGTCTCATCAGTGCTGATGGCCCGGTGACTGACGAAATCTCAGCTCGGATACAGAAAGCTCGATTGGCTTTTGCCAAGTTGCGTCACTTATGGAGTAGGCGTGATATCCGTTCGCTAACCAAAGGAAGGGTGTACTGCGCAGCAGTTCGCTCCGTTCTCCTATATGGCTGTGAAACATGGCCGTCTAGAGTGGGAGATGTTCGTAGACTACTAGTATTCGATCATAGATGTTTAAGAAGCATCGCTCGTATATCGTGAGACAACCGAGTAAGCAGTGCTATAGTTAAGAAACGAGTACTAGGTAAGGATGGCAGATCAGTAAATGAATTAGTGCAACTTCATCAGTTGAGGTGGTTGGGACATGTGTTACGTATGCCTAACCACCGACTGCCTCGACGAGCTATGTTTTGTGGTGTAGGAATAGGTTGGAAGAAAGTTAAGGGCGGCCAGACCAAAACATGGCACAAATCCATCACGTTACTGACAAGTGGACTGAGTCATGTTGGTAGATGTAGGCTATCTGGTTGGGGTCGGCGAGACGAAAGTCATCAATGGTTAGAGACCTTGAACGACATGGCTCAAAATCGTTTGCAATGGCGCAAGTGCATCCATTCATTGAGCTCTCTCAAATCCTAATCTTCTGGATTCGTCAGCACCTCTACCTTTGTTTTTCTAACTTGATTTCACTGAATTATACTTCTTGAATAATATCTTCGAAGCCTAGTCTTCTTCATTATCATTAATACCTCTACTATCTTTATCACTATGGGATTTGATTTGACATCTGCGTCTTTGTGCTAATTTGGTATGGCAACATGAACTTGTGTACATACGTACGATGTTCTACGTTGCAACTGACTGATTCTCAACTACGATCAAACATATCCAGTAATTTTCTTTGGTTTGTCTAGCTCTTCAGTAAACTAAATGGATTTCTATCGATTAGTCTAACTGACTCCACATCGTCTTGATTGTGTTTTGATATTCAAGTAGTTAAAGGCAATCGTCCATATCTCCAGGCAATTATTTGTCAATGATTCAATCCGACAAGAAATCGTCATGTACAACACCTAAAATAATTCAATTACTTGCCAACCTAATATTATGCATTACGGGGTTGTGAAGATTGTTAAGTTACACATTTTTGAAACCATGAATCGATCAATGTTAGACAACCATTAGAAACTTGGAAGCACTGGACGGCCATTTCGTCCTGGTATGGGACTCCTCAGCAGTGCGCACCCACGACTCCTGCACCCCGCAGGATTCGAACCCAGGACCTTCGGTATTGTAGGCAAACGCCTAACCATCGGACCACTGAGCCTGTATCTAACGGTCTTAATGTCTAACTTGATCAATTCCAGGTTTCTAATGGTGGTCCAACATTGATCGATTCATGGTTTCAAAAATGTATAACCTAATATTATATTTTTCTTGTATAATATCAAATGACAAGATAAATTCAATGATGAATAAGTTCGATTAAGAATTCCTCCCCACGTTCATTAAATATTGATCAATGTGAATTTCAAGTTTATCATTTGAATGATTGATAATTTAACACGTTCAATGATCAATTATTAAATAAACAGTAAGTTAAATGCTGCTGATTAATGTTGGAGATCGTTAGACAAGTAACAGAAAACATATTTTAACTAGTACGGTTTTGTGTTACACTAAAATATATAAGCGAAGTAATTTCATTATATAAACTTTGAATATACATCACAGTAAAAAAAAGAATTAAATCCAGTTAAATATTGAAGATAGTATTATTACAATGGTATATGCTAAACTAAAGCAACGAACTAGACAATGAGTGTTAATTCGCTTTGAAGACTAGTAAGTATCAATAGTAAGTATGTTGAATGATGATGAAAGCCACAAAAAGTATACGCCTTATCATAAAACATCCATTTGTAAAACAAGCGTATTCTTGGCTGTCGTCGTTTAAGTGTCTACCACTCTTCAATACATTCTGATTGCATCATGCATCCGAGTACAACACTCTTCTCATTGCCCATAACTTCAGGGTGATATTCTGTTGCACACTCACTGCTTACTACTTATAAGCTCTGTTGCAAGTAGTATACACCATAGTAGTAGTAGTAGTAGTAGTAGTAGTGTGAGTAGTAGTAGTAGTAGTAGTAGTAGTAGTAGTAGTAGTAGTAGTAGTAGTAGTAGTAGTAGTAGTAGTAGTAGTAGTAGTAGTAGTAGTAGTAGTAGTAGTAGTAGTAGTAGTAGTAGTAGTAGTAGTAGTAGTAGTAGTAGTAGTAGTAGTAGTAGTAGTAGTAGTAGTAGTAGTAGTAGTAGTAGTAGTAGTAGTAGTAGTAGTGTTGGTAGTAGTAGTAGTAGTAGTAGTGTTGGTAGTAGTAGTAGTAGTAGTGGTAGTAGTAGTAGTAGTAGTAGTAGTAGTAGTAGTAGTAGTAGTAGTAGTAGTAGTAGTAGTAGTGTTGGTAGTAGTAGTAGTAGTAGTAGTAGTAGCTGTTATATAACCAGACTTTACCTCCAAAAAAGTGACGGAAATATATATCAACGAAGAATACAACTGAAGGTTATCTGTCATTGATTTATTGATTTACCTGCTTTGTCGATGAATCCACCAATCGAATGTATAAATCTTGATCTTGTTGAACACCTGAAATAAAAATTAATTATTTTTTTAAGAGAAAAACGATGAAATTTATTAAGAATTATTAAAATTTTTAGAGAAAACTGGTATTAAGAAATGATGCTGAGAATTTCGCAGTTGCGATAGATGTCGTCGGTGTTGTGGATTTCTGTGAGCTACAAAGTTTAATTGTAGAACTTCGTTTGTTGTTCCTGTCAGTATCATTACAGCTTACTTCGTGTAAAAGACATTATTACTAAAAGTGGATTCAAAACATCCATATTTAGCAAGAGATTAATAACTGAATAGACTGTAAATCGTGTTGTGCTCTCCGTCTAGTACCTTTTTGTTGGTCGAATTCAATAGAGCAAAGATTCTGTGATATCACCAGAATAATTGACTCGGCCTGCGTCGTCAAGCTGTGTTTCCTCATATAGGAATAAGTTGGAAGAAAGCTAGCGGCGGTCAAACCAAGACATAGCACAAATGCTCCATGAAGTCACTGACAATTGGATCAAGTCTCATGTTGGTAAGTGTTGATGCTACTTGGTTAGGGGACCCACGATGAGTTAGTAATCGAATGTTTGGATGACCCTGAATGACATGGCTCAAAGCTGTTTGCAATGGCTGTTGGGTGCATATTCATTCTTTGTATTCTCTCAAATCCTAACCCCTCTTGAATTTCGCATCACACTTATCTTCTTGCTTTTAAGTGTATTGTCACTAGATTCGTACTTCGTATGAATAGTAGCTTCGAACCCTACATCCGCTCGGGGGGGGGGGGGGGGGGGGGATTACTGTGCTACATACTTATACTACGTATACTACTGTGGGACTTTGAATTTGACAGTTGCTGAGGTCTATGCTAATGTGGTATGACAACTTGATCTGACTGTACGTATATTAACGAATGCATCGACGTTAGAGGCAAATGAAGGGGGGGCCGACATTAATGAATATACAGTAAACTAGACCGACGAAATGTGGGTTAGTATAAAGGACCAGACCAAGTTGAACCTTGATTTTTGGTTAACAGACGATCAGTGTATTCATTTCAATGATATAGGAGGTCAGTTATATGCCATTGGAAAATGCTGGTTCTTAGATTTCCCGAAGAATAGATTGCTTCATTGCTGAATCAACTTCCCACTGATGTACTTCAGCCAACACAGAGAATCCTATTGATGACTTCAGATGGTAAAACATGATATATCAGTGTTTTCTGTGAATATTATGACTTCCTTAAAAAATAACTCCATCATTTTAGGCGCTCTTCTGTTGACGCTATTTTGGTTTTGACCTATTTGTTATTGATTCACATGAGGCGCTCTCACTAAAATGAAATTTCGGTACGGATAAAAAAGTTCGACTGGCTTTTTGCTAACTCGCGTCACTTATGGCATAGGCAAGATATCTTTCTACTAATCAAACGAAGAGTTTACTGGAGCAGCAGTTTGCGTTTGTTCTCTTTTACAGATTGTGAAAATATAGCCAATAAGAGTAGAGGATATTGAGATGGTGGAGAAAACTTGTAGCTGCAGGTGGTTGATTGTGGTGGTGTTTCGTTCTCTGAGCTGGTTGTTTTGGTTTTGGAGCTTTCATTGTTCTTCTACTGAACAACATCATCAGCTCCACAACCAAAACAACCAGCTCTGAGAACGAAACACCACCACAGTAGAGGATATTCATAGGTTACTAGTATTCGATCGTAGTTATCTTCGGAAACATTGCTTGGCATTTCTCCTAGGACCAACCGATTAAGCAACGCTGGGTTTAGGAAAAAGTGTACTTTGTAAGGATGGCAAGTCAATTGATGGACCAGTGTATTTTCATGAACAAAGGTGATCACGTATACCTAACTATCAACCGCCTCGACGAGGGAGACTGTCTGATGTAGGGGTAGACACCAATCCACTGATAGCTGGACTTCTCCGTTACCGCTAATACTGGCTTCAACCTCCACTGCTATAAGATTTCAACTAAAACTCCCACCTCCTTATGCCAATAAGGTATGACAACATGAACCAATTTCTACATTACAGCTAACTAACTAACTAACTCTGACAACTCATTCTCATAAGACAGGCAAATATTATTTCTTTTCATAGATTTCAACTTGATTTTTATTTTCACATCATATTCTACTCATTTTCATATTCACTTGAATTAAGACACGTGTACTAACCTGCTCTTGTCGGTATATATGACAAGCAGTCATTAAATAATCCGAAGTAAAACAGAGAAAGAGAATGAACACAGTGTAATTAATAATAATCTCTTAACTGACTTTTATTAAAGAGTCATTCAGTTTTGTTTACGAAGAAAACTGAACTGAATGACAGAAAAACCACTTTCACTGACTGACTGACTGACTGACTGACTGACTGACATTTTTGACAATCTTATAAGCTCACAGACACACACACATAAATAATTAGCCTAACTCGAATGATTTCATAACTTACTCTGGTGCAATGAATGAACATGGATGGATAGGATAATCGTCTGTGTTTATTTCCTACATTCCTACATACTACTTATTGCTACTTACTTACTTACTTACTTACTTACTTACTTAAAAACTCCATAACACACGTGCCGTCTTATTGATGATTAACGCAAACTCTTACTTGTAACCCTGTTTTATTTATTCTTAATACTTGTGGTATTATATTCAAATTAAATCCATTATGATTACAAAAGAAATTGATTTTCGTTTGAATATATGCGTATTGTGTTTATGAGATTTTTTGCTATAAAAATAGCAAAAAATTCTTTGCTATAAATAATGATGATTATACAAACTATTTATCAATGCACACATTTCATTGTATCCTGTTTATGATAAAATTATTATCTTGTCTACTTTGATTTACACACACACACAGAGTATGTTCGATGTGAGAAGATTGAGCATAACTTGGGTAGAATTGGAAAGGGAGGTGTAGCACACTGTAGGTTGGAGAAAACTGGTCGGCGGCTTATGCTCAATTGAGGGTAACCGGAGTAAGTAAATAAGTAAGTAAGTAAGTAAGTAAGTAAGTAAGTAAGTAAGTAAGTAAGTAAGTAAGTAAGTAAGTAAGTAAGTAAGTAAGTAAGTAAGTAAGTAAGTAAGTAAGTAAGTAAGTAAGTAAGTAAGTAAGTAAGTAAGTAAGTAAGTAAGTAAGTAAGTAAGTAAGTAAGTAAGTAAGTAAGTAAGTAAGTAAGTAAGTAAGTAAGTAAGTAAGTAAGTAAGTAAGTAAGTAAGTAAGTAAGTAAGTAAGTAAGTAAGTAAGTAAGTAAGTAAGTAAGTAAGTAAGTAAGTAAGTAAGTAAGTAAGTAAGTAAGTAAGTAAGTAAGTAAGTAAGTAAGTAAGTAAGTAAGTAAGTAAGTAAGTAAGTAAGTAAGTAAGTAAGTAAGTAAGTAAGTAAGTAAGTAAGTAAGTAAGTAAGTAAGTAAGTAAGTAAGTAAGTAAGTAAGTAAGTAAGTAAGTAAGTAAGTAAGTAAGTAAGTAAGTAAGTAAGTAAGTAAGTAAGTAAGTAAGTAAGTAAGTAAGTAAGTAAGTAAGTAAGTAAGTAAGTAAGTAAGTAAGTAAGTAAGTAAGTAAGTAAGTAAGTAAGTAAGTAAGTAAGTAAGTAAGTAAGTAAGTAAGTAAGTAAGTAAGTAAGTAAGTAAGTAAGTAAGTAAGTAAGTAAGTAAGTAAGTAAGTAAGTAAGTAAGTAGGTAAGTAAGTAAGTAAGTAAGTAAGTAAGTAAGTAAGTAAGTAAGTAAGTAAGTAAGTAGTAAGGTAAGTAAGTAGGTAAGTAAGTAAGTAAGTAAGTAAGTATGTAATGTTGGAACTAATATGTGAGTGTAGTGAATTCTGGTCAATTAATTGTTACTGACTCGGTGGTTAGTTTGAAAACTCAGTTCATCTGCTTAGTTTCGGGGACTCTAGTAGCATTTTAAAAGACGATTTGTGATTGGATGAAACTGGCAGACATCAAATTTGCTACCGTATTGTTGTCAATTCTTTATTTTGATTTTTTTTATCATAGAGTTATGGAGATTGCTGTTTCTACAGATTAAAATCAGGAACCAATCACTGTTGGACTACGATTAGAAACGCGTAAGCACTGGACAGCCATTTCGTCCTGGTATGGGACTCAGCAATGGCAGTGCGCATCCAAAACTCTTGCTATTCGCAGGATTCGAACCCAAGATCTTTGGTCTTTCGTGCGAACCCTTAACCTCTGGACCACTGAGCTGGCCGGCATCCGACGATGTTATCATATAACTCTTATCAATCCATGGATTTTGCTCAACCTCACCCATTCGTCTTCTGTCAGTAACTGCCTCACACCCAACACGGTTCTATTCCAATGGTCACGGCTTCTCGTTAGAACTCCGACAATTTCCTCACGAAGCTAATCACTAATGACCAAAGATTATGATTCTCATAGCAGAACGAAGCCACCGTCCAATGCTTTCAGGTTTCCAATAGTATTCCAACAATGAACGATTCATTAGATCAACGAAACAATATCAAAAGTTTCTCCTCAACATTTCTACGTTAGAAGTAGTAGGTTAAACTTGGATGAATTAATTTAAAATATTATTACTCATTAAATATTATTTGAATTACAAATTATTTAGTTTAATTGAATAGGATTTTGAAGAATTTTTGATGTTTAAAGTCTCTTTTATTATACAAACTAATGGAAGTTGAAGAGACGAACTACTGATATTTAACACTATAGTTTAAATATATATCGCGCCTCTCAAAAGATCTAAGGTTTTGAGTCCAATCCCATGAACCTGAATTCCCCATTGGAATCGACGACAAACTTAAGATAACGATTTTAAAGATCTTGATGTTTAACTGTTGCCTTCAAGAATTTTCCCACATAATCTCAAAATCCCATTGCTTATATTAATATCCTTGAATGGTAGGTAATCTGAATTAATCACGTGAAGTGTTCAACTAACTTTGTATTCGTAGAGAAAGTAGATTGAAAGCCTGCCTTTTGGTGGAATTCTCCCATTTTCGAACAACGAGAAGCGTGTCACTCTCATATGATTTTGAGATGGTGGAGAAAATTTGTAGCTCAGGTGGATGATGACTGTGGTTGTGGAGCTTTCACTGTTCTTCTGAACAACATCATCAGCACAAACTTCTGTCTGAAGTATTGACTATCATCAATGTATAACTATGACAAACTCATAAATTACTCATTAACTTTCATTCATAAGTGTTGACTGAAAACAACATGAAAACATTCAATGTCAAATATTTGAAAATAAATAGAATGTGATTGATTTTTTTTGACGAAACTATAAAACATACCATTAGCAAATAATAAACGTATTCGATAATGAATTCCATTATTGGTTTTTTCACCTTCTGGTTCCTGTAATAATTTAAGTAGAAAAAAAATGATGTGAGAAGAAGAGATTAATTACTGTTGTTCTCTATCATTACTACTTAATTAATGGTAGTAATATCTCAAACGCTAACTTTTCGTGAAATGCCATGACGAGAATGAATTCTCTTAAAATTACAGAAACAACTTATTGATATAAGCAACCTAAGTGAGACAAGATGTGTTGTCACTCTTCTTTAATAATGCCAAAAGATTAATTGAATAACTTGATCAGGGATAAATTCCTTCTTAGAAACGTTTCTACCAAAATGATAATATGAGTATGAAACAGTATGACCTTGATGATATTTTCACATTCAAGAATAATGATCTGATTGATATCAAGAAATCGATTTAAATCAGACAACCACTGACGACCAAGAAGCACTGGACGGTCATTTAATCTTAGTAAGAGACTCTTCAGCAGTAAACATCCAGCAACTCGCAGGATTCGAACCCAAAGGCTTCATTCTTGTACGCAAACGCCCAACCTCTGGACCTCTGAGCCAACATTTCTAACTTCGACCAATCCACGGTCTTGTGCAGCATCCTCATCCACTGTCTTCGGTTAGCACTGCTGATGAGTCCTATACCGGGACGAAACGGCCGTCTAACGCTTCCAAGTTTCTAATTATGCTCTAACATTGATTAATTCATGATTTCAAAATGTAACTCAACAATCTTCATAATCCCATAATCCAAAATAGGAATTAGATTTGTGGTCTAAAATACACCAGCTTTTAAACTGTCAATCTAATCGACCGGTTTAACTGAATCACAATAATTCATAACAGATGCTATACATAAAAAGTGTGTTAATTTAGAATCTATGGAAAATATTTACAAGCTAATTATTTTATAAACGTCATCAATATATGAGAATAATTTATATTATCCGAAGTGTTTCTCACAAATCAACCACAACGAAAAACTCTCCGAAGTTCGTTTCACAAGATAAAAAGAATTAGTCAATGAGTATGCGACATTATTAGGCACTATAAGAACCAAACAAATCCACCTGGGGCCCTTATAGGGTTACTGTCGGTCCCAAGCCCGGATAAAGGAGGAGGATCGAGCATGAGGTTACCGACCACAGCCACTAGAAATTTCAACTCGCTGCCGAAAATGCTAACCTGAAAAAAATTCTCTGGTTGGCGGCCTATGCTCTATTAGGGGTAACAGGAGTAATTAAATAAGTCAGTAATAAGAATCAAGCGATATTCAACTGATAAACATGTTACTAGTATACTTAACGTTTTATACATTAAGTTGAATTTTAAATCTGTCACATACCATTGAGGCGATACTTAATACTTATTTTCGGATGAATTCAATATCTTTTCCAATCCCCTTGAGTGTTTCAACATGACATGAACCAGTGGTTTGAATTATATGATTCGGTTTTTTGAATGTGATCGGTTCTAGTTGCGTTAAGGAAGCTTCGTGGCTAGGACTTTTGTTACTCACCTCTATCTAACTTCTATGTCTAACTGTTAAGTTTCATGATTATTTCATAATTTACACTAGTCAATCAATTTCTTTACATTTTAAACTGTAATCTCAATATTTAATTGATTTATTATGATTAATACTAAGAATATACTTCGATTCATGATTTCGATCTTTCGTGATTGAATTCTCCACATTGTTTCGATGAAATAGATCAAATAACAAGTGACCCGGATAATCAAGTCCCAACTTTATACGTACGTGAACATCAACAATATTTAACAAACAATTTTATTAGATAAAATGATGAATATTAAATGGTATTGTTGGAGGGAGAGGTCCCCTAGGAAAAATCTCTAAAAGCGCAGAAACATCAGGAAACATTTTTTTAAAATCAGCATTGAATACGAACTTTCGCAAAGATATCCATAAAACGCAGAATTATATGCCACAATTCTGATAATTGGATAGTTAGCCATACCGCTATTATAATTAGTATGGCTCCCAAAATTTCCAGAAATGTAAGTTGATGTATAACTCTGTAAATTCCTTCATTTTTCTGTACATAAACTAACTTTGGAGTACAGTGTTCTTTCTGTACTTCAGCTCAAGGAATGAAATTGTTGGGGACGCTAGATTCCCAGAACTCGCTTGATAAATGTCTTAATTTTGGATTTAACGTTTCCGAGCATCGGCTGATCAGTTGACCTTAGGGTCGCATTTCCCCACCAGGAAAATCCTTGGCTGTGATTGGTTGCTGTATACTTTAGTGTGCTACTTTTGTGACTAGCGCAAGGGACGTTTCTATGATGTATAAACAAACGAGATTTGTGTGATTGAAGGCATTGTGCTTGCTGTGTGTTTGTAGAACATACTTCTTAGTTAGTCAGCTGATCCGAGTAGCCTACCGTGTCACTGGTTCATTAGCTCGTCCTCGTTTATCGACTAAGGTGAACCCGTAATAGTTTCGAGTATACCTAGTGACGACCTTAACAGAAATACTGATAGGAAAGGTATATTTTATCCAACAACTCTCCCATAAACAAATTACATGGTGATTACTTTTACCAAATACACTTATTTTCAACTGAATCATTATAGGGTGGCGGAGATTGCTGAGTCTGATTGATATCATGAAATCGACCAATGTGAGACCATCATTAGAAACCTGGAAACACTAGACGGCCCTGATATCGAGCACATGAGCAATGTACACGCATGACTCCCGCAACCTAAAATCGAACTCAGGACCTTCAGTCTCGTTTATACGTCTAAATCATTGTGTCTAACTTCGACCGACCCACGATCTTACGTGGACTTTTCCATTGTTTTCGGTCAACAACTGCTTTACACCCAACAGGGTTGAACTCCACATGAACTGCGAGAAATTCTTCACGAAGCTAGTCACTAGTGATCACATAATAATTTCCATTATACACTTATGAAGACTGTTAAGTTTGATATTTAATCAAAATGGAGGAAACCCAAAAACCAATCAACATAGATTTCTCTACAAGATACATGTTAATATTGAACACTGTTCAAATCAAGTTTATTACAAAAATATCATACTGAGAGTAAAGAATAACAAGATCTTGCTTTTTTATTACTCCATCCTATCAGTTCATATTATTTATCCAAACTCTGTTTAATTTCATCTCATCTAGAACTTGATTGAGAAGTCAGTTTAGAAAAACTTTCTAATTTTCTTATATTTTTATGCACAATTGAATAAAAGAAATAATTTCGATTACTTTTTTTATTGAATTTAATTGCGTGTATCAAAATTTTAACATTTTTATTCATTTTACAACAACGTGTTGTGTGCTTTCGCTAAAAAAATGTTATGCTCAAATCATGCTGTGATCTAATTCCGTACAAGTAAAAAAATTGAACTTTGAATAAAAAAATATCGTGACAAAAACAAATGAATGCTAAGTTTGTGAATAGACACAAAATTATATTTCATTTGAGATTGATGTAAATTAAACTTATACGCCACTGGATACTAACTGGCTCAGTGTTGGGAACGTTTGATCACCAGAACTCACTTGGAAAAGGTCCTAAGTCTGTAATATATTTCGGAAATTTTGAATTTTTATATTTCCGCGCCAAGCGACGCTTAGTTGACCTACAGCTTACAGTTCCTACTCGGAAATCCTTGACTATCATTGGTTGGGGGATTATTTTAGTTCGCTACTTTAAGGCTCTCACCAAGGGCGTTGCTATCATTGTATAAATAAACTTGATTTGTGTGCTTAACAACTTCTTTATTTCTGATTGCTTGTAGAATACATTCTCTGCGCCTTCTCAAGACTTCGCGATTTAGCTCAGTACTGAAAAATCACTTAATAATAGTACGAAACGTTAGTTTTCCTTTGATGACCCAAACTATTATCGATTCGTAATTTGAAATCTACAAAAACGACATCATCTCCACTAAACTATACACTGAGCCGTACATCAGTTGATCAGTTGATCACTGATTTTTAATCGAGTAGACTGTTTCTATTGTTGTATGATGTCTTGTAGGGCAAACATTCACTTTCAGCATGGATTTCCTTGATTACTGCTTCATAAACTACTGATCTTCCGTAACAATGCAACAATATAATCTTTCTCATCTGTTTTCTATTGAAATCTCCTCATTTTCATCACTGCAGATATCCATATTGTACACCACGAATGGAAGTAGCCTGGGCTCGTTTTGAGAAACAACCACCGAATAATTTACGTAAAAGCAATTTCTTTCATTTCATTATTGCTTTATATGATCAAAATAGGCATCCAATTGAAGTGGAACGTGCTGCATTTATTGATTTTGTCGAAAAAGATAAAGTAAGTTGTTGATTGTTATGATAATGATTAATTTTGTAATTGAAATAATGAACTAATGTAGGAAGCATTGAACTCTTTGGAGGAAGATCGAACTCCGAACCTCTGTTTCACATGAGAGTGATTAACCCGCTTGGTATGCTCGCCAGTTGATGTGTTTGAATGCTATTACGAGTTCAACTTATTAGGTAAACGGAACGAATGACTCAGTGAAATGATAGGCTTCTATAATCCGATTGTCCCATTCCCGGTTAACTAAATCGCGAAGTCTTGAGAAGGCGCAGAGAATGTATTCTACAAGCAATCAGAAATAAAGAAGTTGTTAAGCACACAAATCAAGTTTATTTATACAATGATAGCAACGCCCTTGGTGAGAGCCTTAAAGTAGCGAACTAAAATAATCCCCCAACCAATGATAGTCAAGGATTTCCGAGTAGGAACTGTAAGCTGTAGGTCAACTAAGCGTCGCTTGGCGCGGAAATATAAAAATTCAAAATTTCCGAAATATATTACAGACTTAGGACCTTTTCCAAGTGAGTTCTGGTGATCAAACGTTCCCAACACTGAGCCAGTTAGTATCCAGTGGCGTATAAGTTTAATTTACATCAATCTCAAATGAAATATAATTTTGTGTCTATTCACAAACTTAGCATTCATTTGTTTTTGTCACGATATTTTTTTATTCAAAGTTCAATATTTTACTTGTACGGAATTAGATCACAGCATGATTTGAGCATAACATTTTTTTAGCGAAAGCACACAACACGTTGTTATAAAATGAATAAAAATGTTAAAATTTTGATACACGCAATTAAATTCAATAAAAAATGTGATCGAAATTATTTCTTTTATTCAATTGTGCATAAAAATATAAGAAAATTAGAAAGTTTTTCTAAACTGACTTCTCAATCAAGTTCTAGATGAGATGAAATTAAACAGAGTTTGGATAAATAATATGAACTGATAGGATGGAGTAATAAAAAAGCAAGATCTTGTTATTCTTTACTCTCAGTATGATATTTTTGTAATAAACTTGATTTGAACAGTGTTCAATATTAACATGTATCTTGTAGAGAAATCTATGTTGATTGGTTTTTGGGTTTCCTCCATTTTGATTAAATATCAAACTTAACAGTCTTCATAAGTGTATAATGGAAATTATTATGTGATCACTAGTGACTAGCTTCGTGAAGAATTTCTCGCAGTTCATGTGGAGTTCAACCCTGTTGGGTGTAAAGCAGTTGTTGACCGAAAACAATGGAAAAGTCCACGTAAGATCGTGGGTCGGTCGAAGTTAGACACAATGATTTAGACGTTAAACGAGACTGAAGGTCCTGAGTTCGATTTTAGGTTGCGGGAGTCATGCGTGTACATTGCTCATGTGCTCGATATCAGGGCCGTCTAGTGTTTCCAGGTTTCTAATGATGGTCTCACATTGGTCGATTCATGATATCAATCAGACTCAGCAATCTCCGCCACCCTATAATGATTCAGTTGAAAATAAGTGTATTTGGTAAAAGTAATCACCATGTAATTTGTTTATGGGAGAGTTGTTGGATAAAATATACCTTTCCTATCAGTATTTCTGTTAAGGTCGTCACTAGGTATACTCGAAACTATTACGGGTTCACCTTAGTCGATAAACGAGGACGAGCTAATGAACCAGTGACACGGTAGGCTACTCGGATCAGCTGACTAACTAAGAAGTATGTTCTACAAACACACAGCAAGCACAATGCCTTCAATCACACAAATCTCGTTTGTTTATACATCATAGAAACGTCCTTGCGCTAGTCACAAAAGTAGCACACTAAAGTATACAGCAACCAATCACAGCCAAGGATTTTCCTGGTGGGAAATGCGACCCTAAGGTCAACTGATCAGCCGATGCTCGGAAACGTTAAATCCAAAATTAAGACATTTATCAAGCGAGTTCTGGGAATCTAGCGTCCCCAACAATTTCATTCCTTGAGCTGAAGTACAGAAAGAACACTGTACTCCAAAGTTAGTTTATGTACAGAAAAATGAAGGAATTTACAGAGTTATACATCAACTTACATTTCTGGAAATTTTGGGAGCCATACTAATTATAATAGCGGTATGGCTAACTATCCAATTATCAGAATTGTGGCATATAATTCTGCGTTTTATGGATATCTTTGCGAAAGTTCGTATTCAATGCTGATTTTAAAAAAATGTTTCCTGATGTTTCTGCGCTTTTAGAGATTTTTCCTAGGGACCTCTCCCTCCAACAATACCATTTAATATTCATCATTTTATCTAATAAAATTGTTTGTTAAATATTGTTGATGTTCACGTACGTATAAAGTTGGGACTTGATTATCCGGGTCACTTGTTATTTGATCTATTTCATCGAAACAATGTGGAGAATTCAATCACGAAAGATCGAAATCATGAATCGAAGTATATTCTTAGTATTAATCATAATAAATCAATTAAATATTGAGATTACAGTTTAAAATGTAAAGAAATTGATTGACTAGTGTAAATTATGAAATAATCATGAAACTTAACAGTTAGACATAGAAGTTAGATAGAGGTGAGTAACAAAAGTCCTAGCCACGAAGCTTCCTTAACGCAACTAGAACCGATCACATTCAAAAAACCGAATCATATAATTCAAACCACTGGTTCATGTCATGTTGAAACACTCAAGGGGATTGGAAAAGATATTGAATTCATCCGAAAATAAGTATTAAGTATCGCCTCAATGGTATGTGACAGATTTAAAATTCAACTTAATGTATAAAACGTTAAGTATACTAGTAACATGTTTATCAGTTGAATATCGCTTGATTCTTATTACTGACTTATTTAATTACTCCTGTTACCCCTAATAGAGCATAGGCCGCCAACCAGAGAATTTTTTTCAGGTTAGCATTTTCGGCAGCGAGTTGAATTTCTACTGGCTGTGGTCGGTAACCTCATGCTCGATCCTCCTCCTTTATCCGGGCTTGGGACCGACAGTAACCCTATAAGGGCCCCAGGTGGATTTGTTTGGTTCTTATAGTGCCTAATAATGTCGCATACTCATTGACTAATTCTTTTTATCTTGTGAAACGAACTTCGGAGAGTTTTTCGTTGTGGTTGATTTGTGAGAAACACTTCGGATAATATAAATTATTCTCATATATTGATGACGTTTATAAAATAATTAGCTTGTAAATATTTTCCATAGATTCTAAATTAACACACTTTTTATGTATAGCATCTGTTATGAATTATTGTGATTCAGTTAAACCGGTCGATTAGATTGACAGTTTAAAAGCTGGTGTATTTTAGACCACAAATCTAATTCCTATTTTGGATTATGGGATTATGAAGATTGTTGAGTTACATTTTGAAATCATGAATTAATCAATGTTAGAGCATAATTAGAAACTTGGAAGCGTTAGACGGCCGTTTCGTCCCGGTATAGGACTCATCAGCAGTGCTAACCGAAGACAGTGGATGAGGATGCTGCACAAGACCGTGGATTGGTCGAAGTTAGAAATGTTGGCTCAGAGGTCCAGAGGTTGGGCGTTTGCGTACAAGAATGAAGCCTTTGGGTTCGAATCCTGCGAGTTGCTGGATGTTTACTGCTGAAGAGTCTCTTACTAAGATTAAATGACCGTCCAGTGCTTCTTGGTCGTCAGTGGTTGTCTGATTTAAATCGATTTCTTGATATCAATCAGATCATTATTCTTGAATGTGAAAATATCATCAAGGTCATACTGTTTCATACTCATATTATCATTTTGGTAGAAACGTTTCTAAGAAGGAATTTATCCCTGATCAAGTTATTCAATTAATCTTTTGGCATTATTAAAGAAGAGTGACAACACATCTTGTCTCACTTAGGTTGCTTATATCAATAAGTTGTTTCTGTAATTTTAAGAGAATTCATTCTCGTCATGGCATTTCACGAAAAGTTAGCGTTTGAGATATTACTACCATTAATTAAGTAGTAATGATAGAGAACAACAGTAATTAATCTCTTCTTCTCACATCATTTTTTTTCTACTTAAATTATTACAGGAACCAGAAGGTGAAAAAACCAATAATGGAATTCATTATCGAATACGTTTATTATTTGCTAATGGTATGTTTTATAGTTTCGTCAAAAAAAATCAATCACATTCTATTTATTTTCAAATATTTGACATTGAATGTTTTCATGTTGTTTTCAGTCAACACTTATGAATGAAAGTTAATGAGTAATTTATGAGTTTGTCATAGTTATACATTGATGATAGTCAATACTTCAGACAGAAGTTTGTGCTGATGATGTTGTTCAGAAGAACAGTGAAAGCTCCACAACCACAGTCATCATCCACCTGAGCTACAAATTTTCTCCACCATCTCAAAATCATATGAGAGTGACACGCTTCTCGTTGTTCGAAAATGGGAGAATTCCACCAAAAGGCAGGCTTTCAATCTACTTTCTCTACGAATACAAAGTTAGTTGAACACTTCACGTGATTAATTCAGATTACCTACCATTCAAGGATATTAATATAAGCAATGGGATTTTGAGATTATGTGGGAAAATTCTTGAAGGCAACAGTTAAACATCAAGATCTTTAAAATCGTTATCTTAAGTTTGTCGTCGATTCCAATGGGGAATTCAGGTTCATGGGATTGGACTCAAAACCTTAGATCTTTTGAGAGGCGCGATATATATTTAAACTATAGTGTTAAATATCAGTAGTTCGTCTCTTCAACTTCCATTAGTTTGTATAATAAAAGAGACTTTAAACATCAAAAATTCTTCAAAATCCTATTCAATTAAACTAAATAATTTGTAATTCAAATAATATTTAATGAGTAATAATATTTTAAATTAATTCATCCAAGTTTAACCTACTACTTCTAACGTAGAAATGTTGAGGAGAAACTTTTGATATTGTTTCGTTGATCTAATGAATCGTTCATTGTTGGAATACTATTGGAAACCTGAAAGCATTGGACGGTGGCTTCGTTCTGCTATGAGAATCATAATCTTTGGTCATTAGTGATTAGCTTCGTGAGGAAATTGTCAAAGTTCTAATGAGAAGCTGTAACCAATGGAGTTGAACCCTGTCGGGTGTGAGGTAGTTACTGACAGAAGACGAATGGGTGAGGTTGAGCAAAATCCATGGATTGATAAGAGTTATATGATAACATCGTCGGATGCCGGCCAGCTCAGTGGTCCAGAGGTTAAGGGTTCGCACGAAAGACCAAAGATCTTGGGTTCGAATCCTGCGAATAGCAAGAGTTTTGGATGCGCACTGCCATTGCTGAGTCCCATACCAGGACGAAATGGCTGTCCAGTGCTTACGCGTTTCTAATCGTAGTCCAACAGTGATTGGTTCCTGATTTTAATCTGTAGAAACAGCAATCTCCATAACTCTATGATAAAAAAAATCAAAATAAAGAATTGACAACAATACGGTAGCAAATTTGATGTCTGCCAGTTTCATCCAATCACAAATCGTCTTTTAAAATGCTACTAGAGTCCCCGAAACTAAGCAGATGAACTGAGTTTTCAAACTAACCACCGAGTCAGTAACAATTAATTGACCAGAATTCACTACACTCACATATTAGTTCCAACATTACATACTTACTTACTTACTTACTTACTTACCTACTTACTTACTTCGCCACTTACTTACTTACTTACTTACTTACTTACTTACTTACTTACTTACTTACTTACTTACTTACTTACCTACTTACTTACTTACTTACTTACTTACTTACTTACTTACTTACTTACTTACTTACTTACTTACTTACTTACTTACTTACTTACTTACTTACTTACTTACTTACTTACTTACTTACTTACTTACTTACTTACTTACTTACTTACTTACTTACTTACTTACTTACTTACTTACTTACTTACTTACTTACTTACTTACTTACTTACTTACTTACTTACTTACTTACTTACTTACTTACTTACTTACTTACTTACTTACTTACTTACTTACTTACTTACTTACTTTACTTACTTACTTACTTACTTACTTACTTACTTACTTACTTACTTACTTACTTACTTACTTACTTACTTACTTACTTACTTACTTACTTACTTACTTACTTACTTACTTACTTACTTACTTACTTACTTACTTACTTACTTACTTACTTACTTACTTACTTACTTACTTACTTACTTACTTACTTACTTACTTACTTACTTACTTACTTACTTACTTACTTACTTACTTACTTACTTACTTACTTACTTACTTACTTACTTACTTACTTACTTACTTACTTATTTACTTACTCCGGTTACCCTCAATTGAGCATAAGCCGCCGACCAGTTTTCTCCAACCTACAGTGTGCTACACCTCCCTTTCCAATTCTACCCAAGTTATGCTCAATCTTCTCACATCGAACATACTCTGTGTGTGTGTGTAAATCAAAGTAGACAAGATAATAATTTTATCATAAACAGGATACAATGAAATGTGTGCATTGATAAATAGTTTGTATAATCATCATTATTTATAGCAAAGAATTTTTTGCTATTTTTATAGCAAAAAATCTCATAAACACAATACGCATATATTCAAACGAAAATCAATTTCTTTTGTAATCATAATGGATTTAATTTGAATATAATACCACAAGTATTAAGAATAAATAAAACAGGGTTACAAGTAAGAGTTTGCGTTAATCATCAATAAGACGGCACGTGTGTTATGGAGTTTTTAAGTAAGTAAGTAAGTAAGTAAGTAAGTAAGTAGCAATAAGTAGTATGTAGGAATGTAGGAAATAAACACAGACGATTATCCTATCCATCCATGTTCATTCATTGCACCAGAGTAAGTTATGAAATCATTCGAGTTAGGCTATTATTTATGTGTGTGTGTCTGTGAGCTTATAAGATTGTCCAAAAAGTCGCAGTCAGTCAGTCAGTCAGTCAGTCAGTGAAAGGGTGGTGTTTCTTGTCATTCAGTTTCAGTTTTCTTCGTAACAGAAACTGAATGACTCTTTAATAAAAGTCAGTTAAGAGATTATTATTAATTACACTGTGTTCATTCTCTTTCTCTGTTTTACTTCGGATTATTTAATGACTGCTTGTCATATATACCGACAAGAGCAGGTTAGTACACGTGTCTTAATTCAAGTGAATATGAAAATGAGTAGAATATGATGTGAAAATAAAAATCAAGTTGAAATCTATGAAAAGAAATAATATTTGCCTGTCTTATGAGAATGAGTTGTCAGAGTTAGTTAGTTAGTTAGCTGTAATGTAGAAATTGGTTCATGTTGTCATACCTTATTGGCATAAGGAGGTGGGAGTTTTAGTTGAAATCTTATAGCAGTGGAGGTTGAAGCCAGTATTAGCGGTAACGGAGAAGTCCAGCTATCAGTGGATTGGTGTCTACCCCTACATCAGACAGTCTCCCTCGTCGAGGCGGTTGATAGTTAGGTATACGTGATCACCTTTGTTCATGAAAATACACTGGTCCATCAATTGACTTGCCATCCTTACAAAGTACACTTTTTCCTAAACCCAGCGTTGCTTAATCGGTGGTCCTAGGAAATGCAAGCAATGTTTCGAAGATAACTACGATCGAATACTAGTAACCTATGAATATCCTCTACTGTGGTGGTGTTTCGTTCTCAGAGCTGGTTGTTTTGGTTGTGGAGCTGATGATGTTGTTCAGTAGAAGAACAATGAAAGCTCCAAAACCAAAACAACCAGCTCAGAGAACGAAACACCACCACAATCAACCACCTGAGCTACAAGTTTTCTCCACCATCTCAATATCCTCTACTCTTAGTGGCTATATTTCACAATCTGTAAAAGAGAACAAAGCAAACTGCTGCTCAGTAAACTCTTCGTTTGATTAGTAGACAGATATCTTGCCTATGCCATAAGTGACGCGAGTTAGCAAAAAGCCAGTCGAACTTTTTTATCCGTACCGAAATTTCATTTTAGTGAGAGCGCCTCATGTGAATCAATAACAAATAGGTCAAAACCAAAATAGCGTCAACAGAAGAGCGCCTAAAATGATGGAGTTATTTTTTAAGGAAGTCATAATATTCACAGAAAACACTGATATATCATGTTTTACCATCTGAAGTCATCAATAGGATTCTCTGTGTTGGCTGAAGTACATCAGTGGGAAGTTGATTCAGCAATGAAGCAATCTATTCTTCGGGAAATCTAAGAACCAGCATTTTCCAATGGCATATAACTGACCTCCTATATCATTGAAATGAATACACTGATCGTCTGTTAACCAAAAATCAAGGTTAACTTGTCTGGTCCTTTATACTAACCACATTTCGTCGGTCTAGTTTACTGTATATTCATTAATGTCGGCCCCCCTTCATTTGCCTCTAACGTAGAACTTCGTATATACGTACATCAGATCAAGTTGTCATACCACATTAGCATAGACTCGCAACTGTCAATTCAAATCCCACAGTAGTATAAGTAGTATAAGTATTAGCAGTAATCGGAGAGATTAGGGTTCGAAGCTACTATTCACGAAGTAGAATCTAGTGAAATAAACTTAAAACGAAGAAGATAAGTGTGATGCGAAATTCAAGAGGTTAGGATTTGAGAGAATACAAAGAATGAATGCACCCAAGCCATTGCAAACAGCTTTGAGCCATGTCATTCAGGGTCTCCAAACATCGATTACTAACATCTCGTGGGTCCCAACCAAGTAGTCAACACTTACCAACATGACTTGATCCAATTGTCAGTGACTTCATGGATTTGTGCTATGTCTTGGTTTGACCGCCGCTAGCTTTCTTCCAACTTATTCCTATATGAGGAAACACAGCTTGACGACGCAGGCCGAGTCAATTATTCTGGTGATATCACAGAATCTTTGCTCTATTGAATTCGACCAACAAAAAGGTACTAGACGGAGAGCACAACACGATTTACAGTCTATTCAGTTATTAATCTCTTGCTAAATATGGATGTTTTGAATCCACTTTTAGTAATAATGTCTTTTACACGAAGTAAGCTGTAATGATACTGACAGGAACAACAAACGAAGTTCTACAATTAAACTTTGTAGCTCACAGAAATCCACAACACCGACGACATCTATCGCAACTGCGAAATTCTCAGCATCATTTCTTAATACCAGTTTTCTCTAAAAATTTTAATAATTCTTAATAAATTTCATCGTTTTTCTCTTAAAAAAATAATTAATTTTTATTTCAGGTGTTCAACAAGATCAAGATTTATACATTCGATTGGTGGATTCATCGACAAAGCAGGTAAATCAATAAATCAATGACAGATAACCTTCAGTTGTATTCTTCGTTGATATATATTTCCGTCACTTTTTTGGAGGTAAAGTCTGGTTATATAACAGCTACTACTACTACTACTACTACTACTACCAACACTACTACTACTACTACTACTACTACTACTACTACTACTACTACCCCTACTACTACTACTACCCCTACTACTACTACTACTACCAACACTACTACTACTACTACTACTACTACCAACACTACTACTACTACTACTACCAACACTACTACTACTACTACTACTACTACTACTACTACTCCTACTACTACTACTACTACTACTACTACTACTACTACTACTACTACTACTACTACTACTACTACTACTACTACTACTACTACTACTACTACTACTACTACTACTACTACTACTACTACTACTACTACTACTACTCACACTACTACTACTACTACTACTACTACTATGGTGTATACTACTTGCAACAGAGCTTATAAGTAGTAAGCAGTGAGTGTGCAACAGAATATCACCCTGAAGTTATGGGCAATGAGAAGAGTGTTGTACTCGGATGCATGATGCAATCAGAATGTATTGAAGAGTGGTAGACACTTAAACGACGACAGCCAAGAATACGCTTGTTTTACAAATGGATGTTTTATGATAAGGCGTATACTTTTTGTGGCTTTCATCATCATTCAACATACTTACTATTGATACTTACTAGTCTTCAAAGCGAATTAACACTCATTGTCTAGTTCGTTGCTTTAGTTTAGCATATACCATTGTAATAATACTATCTTCAATATTTAACTGGATTTAATTCTTTTTTTTACTGTGATGTATATTCAAAGTTTATATAATGAAATTACTTCGCTTATATATTTTAGTGTAACACAAAACCGTACTAGTTAAAATATGTTTTCTGTTACTTGTCTAACGATCTCCAACATTAATCAGCAGCATTTAACTTACTGTTTATTTAATAATTGATCATTGAACGTGTTAAATTATCAATCATTCAAATGATAAACTTGAAATTCACATTGATCAATATTTAATGAACGTGGGGAGGAATTCTTAATCGAACTTATTCATCATTGAATTTATCTTGTCATTTGATATTATACAAGAAAAATATAATATTAGGTTATACATTTTTGAAACCATGAATCGATCAATGTTGGACCACCATTAGAAACCTGGAATTGATCAAGTTAGACATTAATATCGTTAGATACAGGCTCAGTGGTCCGATGGTTAGGCGTTTGCCTACAATACCGAAGGTCCTGGGTTCGAATACTGCGGGGTGCAGGAGTCGTGGGTGCGCACTGCTGAGGAGTCCCATACCAGGACGAAATGGCCGTCCAGTGCTTCCAAGTTTCTAATGGTTGTCTAACATTGATCGATTCATGGTTTCAAAAATGTGTAACTTAACAATCTTCACAACCCCGTAATGCATAATATTAGGTTGGCAAGTAATTGAATTATTTTAGGTGTTGTACATGACGATTTCTTGTCGGATTGAATCATTGACAAATAATTGCCTGGAGATATGGACGATTGCCTTTAACTACTTGAATATCAAAACACAATCAAGACGATGTGGAGTCAGTTAGACTAATCGATAGAAATCCATTTAGTTTACTGAAGAGCTAGACAAACCAAAGAAAATTACTGGATATGTTTGATCGTAGTTGAGAATCAGTCAGTTGCAACGTAGAACATCGTACGTATGTACACAAGTTCATGTTGCCATACCAAATTAGCACAAAGACGCAGATGTCAAATCAAATCCCATAGTGATAAAGATAGTAGAGGTATTAATGATAATGAAGAAGACTAGGCTTCGAAGATATTATTCAAGAAGTATAATTCAGTGAAATCAAGTTAGAAAAACAAAGGTAGAGGTGCTGACGAATCCAGAAGATTAGGATTTGAGAGAGCTCAATGAATGGATGCACTTGCGCCATTGCAAACGATTTTGAGCCATGTCGTTCAAGGTCTCTAACCATTGATGACTTTCGTCTCGCCGACCCCAACCAGATAGCCTACATCTACCAACATGACTCAGTCCACTTGTCAGTAACGTGATGGATTTGTGCCATGTTTTGGTCTGGCCGCCCTTAACTTTCTTCCAACCTATTCCTACACCACAAAACATAGCTCGTCGAGGCAGTCGGTGGTTAGGCATACGTAACACATGTCCCAACCACCTCAACTGATAAGTTGCACTAATTCATTTACTGATCTGCCATCCTTACCTAGTACTCGTTTCTTAACTATAGCACTGCTTACTCGGTTGTCTCACGATATACGAGCGATGCTTCTTAAACATCTATGATCGAATACTAGTAGTCTACGAACATCTCCCACTCTAGACGGCCATGTTTCACAGCCATATAGGAGAACGGAGCGAACTGCTGCGCAGTACACCCTTCCTTTGGTTAGCGAACGGATATCACGCCTACTCCATAAGTGACGCAACTTGGCAAAAGCCAATCGAGCTTTCTGTATCCGAGCTGAGATTTCGTCAGTCACCGGGCCATCAGCACTGATGAGACTCCCCAGATAAGTGAAGTGATCAACACACTCGACTACTTCACCCCCTATCACTAGTTCAGGTGCCGATGCAACCCCAATCTTGAAGCAACATTTTGCATAATAGTATGCATACATAGAATTAATTACATAAGCTTTATTACAGAGAATAATCATCATAATCTTAGTGAATGCAATTTTAAATAGAGCATTGAGTTGAAATTTATCACTGTAGAACTAGCTGCCAGTGATTTACTAACAACCAATCAAGTTTGATATCGGCAAGGACAAGCTACAAGTCATACGTGGCAAAATTCGAATACTTCACCTGAAGTTTTGTGCTGATGATGTTGTTCAGAAGAACAATGAAAACTCCACAACCAGAAGGATATCCAGCTCACAGAATGAAAACACCATCATAATTATAACACATATCTACCAAAGGAAATCAGTCATGTCATTTAAGTGTAACATTCTATGAGGTTAATTATCCGCTTGCTCATAATTTTATTTGTAACCATGAATCGATCAATGTTAGACCACCATTAGAAGCCTGGAAGCACTGGATGGCCGTTTCGTCCTGGTATGGGACTCATCAGTGGCAGTGCGCATCCACGACTTCTGCACCCCGCAGGATTCGAACCAAGGACGTTTCGGTAGTGTGCGCGAGCACCCTAACCGTCGTGGATGTGCACTGCTTATGAGTCCCAGACCAGAACGAAACGGCCGTCTTTCAGTGCTTCCAGGTTTCTAATGGTGTTCTAACATTGATTGATTGATTCATGGTTACAAATAAAAAACTTAACAATCTTCACAACAACCCCGCAATTCTTCATAATTTACCAAAATCAAAGTTTTAATATGCGCACAACTGACATATGAAATTAATTTCTTCTCTATTCATCTGTAATATGAAATAATAGCTTGAGAAAGAGTAATTACGTAGTATAGCCAATGCGTTCATACAGTAGGTTATGGGATTCATCAATGTATCAAATACAATTCTGTTCAAATCAAAAGAAAAATTTCAATGTTAATCTGATTGTACATAGACCAAACAAAATTGTAGTATTGTAGTGAAGGAGAATGCAGGTGAGGGCAACCCGAATTGTACTTAACGAAAATTACAGAGTTAATCAGTAAAATAGGAAAACCATATCATAAACGATTAATTTGCAAATCTTCAATCCATCATCAATCCATTGTCTGACATTTCACCACTATTCATGCGTTTCATACAAATTCCATTGTGTTCCCACTCTTCCTTCCTTTCTTGATCTTCCCTCATCTTCTGCTGCCAGACATTATGTTTACATTCACGTCATATACTACTTATAAGTAGCACGCACCACACTATCTTCAAATGTCAATGATAAATCTTGTATCATTAGTCTTAGTGCTCTTGTCCCCTATCGATCGATTTGTGGTTTTAATGTGGAGCATGAGTCAACTAATCATTTTGTGTTTCTTTTTAAAGCCTATCGCCTATGAAGGACAAGATAAAAATCCTGAAATGTGTCGAGTACTACTTACACATGAAGTTATGTGTAGTCGATGTTGTGAAAGAAAAAGTTGTGGCAATCGTAATGAAACACCATCAGATCCTGTCATATT